ACTATCCCTCTCTTCTGCATTATCAGTGTTTCCCTCCCAATGCAGCATACACAAATGCTCTAAAATCTCCAATCAAAAAAAAAAATTACAGTTCTGCCCCTTGACGGTAGATCCTCTGTCTACTACCACATAGCCCTCCTCTTTATGGCAAAATATCTTTAAAGAGCAATGATGTTCGTTTCCTTACCTGACACTCTCTTATCTTACTGCAGTCCCCATCCTTCCACTAAAACTACTTTTTTCAAGTCATCAACAACTTCCATGTTCCCAAACATTGTGGTCAGTTCTCAGTCCTCATTTAACTTGGCCTCTCACTGTCATTTGGCATTATTGGTCACTCCCTCCTTCTTAGAACACCTCAGGACTGGTGTTGTAGGGCACCATTCTTTTTTCTTCTTATTTATTTGCTGCTTCTTATCAGTCTCCCTTTGTTTGTTTGTTTCTCCTCTGCCTGACATCTAATGCTAGAGAACCACAGGTTCAGTCCTCAGCTGTCTTTTATTCCCAGGGTAATCTCATTCTTTCCCAGTGGCTTTAGATACCATCATATACTTAACTCCCAAATTCATATCTCCAGCCTTTTTCTTGAGTTTGATTTATCTATTGATCCCAACAGATGAATGTCTAACAGACATCTTAAATTTAGCATGTGCAAACTATATTCTGGATATCCTCTCCTCTCTTCCCTAAACTTGCTTTTCCCTCAAAATTCCCCATGTCATTAAATAGAACTGATATTTATGGGCCAAAGTTCTGTTACAAAGGCCAGTAGGGGCAGAGAGATGTAATGGGGTTTATTTATTCATATTCTGTTGGGCACCAGCATCTTAATTACCCCCCAGCCATATGTTTTGCTCCTAACTAATGGCTGCATCTGTGGAAGAAAACAAACTCTTTTCAACAAACTGACAAACCCTAAATCCTCCTTGTTTTATATGCGATCAACAGTACATCATGGAACTAACTCCCATTGATCACTATTTTGTTTTGGTCTAGGCTGTGTTCTGCCTAAAACATGTGACCAGGAGATAAATTGCAGCCCAGATAATTAAGAGACAAGTAATTTAAATAGTGAGTTATACCCAGGAATTATAAATGGCTCCATGGGCACGTTCTGAACAGTTTTTTTTGTTTCTCTTTTTTAATGTGTCCTTTTTAGTTCTCCCTCAACACCCCCTTTATTGAAGTTTTGTTTTTCTATTTGACCTTTTCCATTTAGTATAGATTTCAGAGTCAGAACCGGGGAGACTTAGTTCTTCTCAGCCCTAGAGGTTATTCTCAGAACAAATCAATTTGCCACTGTATTTAATAAGGTGTGTATTTATTTATCAATCATCTTGTTACTTAAAGGATTTGAGAGATGTCAGTCTAAAAGTCTATGAGGATCATATTGATCATTAGGGCTTTTTTTTGTTTGTTTGTTTTGTTTTTTTTGCGGTACGCGGGCCTCTCGTTGTGGCCTCTCCCGTTGCGGAGCACAGGCTCCGGATGTGCAGGCTCAGTGGCCATGGCTCACAGGCCCAGCCGCTGCGTGGCGTGTGGGATCTTCCCGGACCGGGGCACGAACCCGTGTCCCCAGCATCGGCAGGCAGACTCTCAACCACTGCGCTACCAGGGAAGCCCTAGGGCTTTTTGTGTGTATAATTTTTTGCTTTGTTTTGCCTACTAGCTTTTAGCATGTTAAATAGTTTCTGGGCTCTTCATCTGCCACATCAAAGTAATGACAGACTCTTAGAGCAATAAATAGAAAATTAAATGCTTGAAAAGCATCTGGAAAATATATAACACTCCAGATATACAGATTTTAATCTTGTAATGCGACTGGAGGGAAATAGTACCTTAGAAATTCTCCCTGTTTGTTTCATTTTGATTTTTACTCTGTGAAATTGAAGAACTAAGCATACTTCATATGAAAGCCAAAATGAAAATCTTAACATATTTATGGGTATTGAAGCCTAGCTAATTTTACTTTTACTTTGCCATGTTTATTAGGCAACATGTTAAATTCCACTTAACAAACTCTTCTATGTAGAATTAAGGATTCCAAAATGTAAAAAGAAGCACAGTTTCTTTCTTCAGAGCTTAAGCCAGAGAAAAGGATTCACATAAACAACTGTAATATATTTTTACAAAAACCTTCCTCAGGCCTAAATATTTCTCCAGCTGGACTCCATGTATTATGAAGGGATGTTCTAGTCTCCTATGAGATATTTTACATTTTATGTTGTAATTTCAAAACCTTTTGGAAATATTAATAGATTCCTATTCAAGAACATTGAGAAGACTTTCCTATAACCAAGAACTGCTGTAGACTTAAAATATATCTGTGTTTGAGTTTTTGATCAAACTGGCACCCTAAAACAACGTTTTTTTTTAAATGCATTGATAAGCTTGCCTGCTTGCTGTTAACTTTCTAATGTCAAAGTGATAGCAATAGCCCAAAGCCTGTCAAGTGCTCAGATTGAATTATTTTCCTAGTTAAATACATAAAACTTCTTTTCTAAAGTGATAACTCACAACTGAAAGATATATTCTAATTTGACTTTAGCTTTTAAATATATTTTTAAATATCACTTTAGTTTGACACCACAAAAAATGACTGTGGCAGAGTGATTATTTTTTTAAATGTTGTGGTTTAGTAATACAGCCACAGCCCGTCATACTAATAAATGCTGATGATGGGTCAGTACAAAATGTTGGACGCAGATGATGTCATGGTACACAGTATATATGAAACTCCAGTTATTAAAATATAAAAAATAAGAACCAGTTTTGAATCAAACATTGTTTTAAGTACCTTCCATGAATTAGTTTATTTAATCTTGTGGTATAGGCAGAACAATAGCCCTTCAAAGATTTCCACATCCTAATTCCCAGAACGTGTGAATATATTACATAGATGACAAGAGGGATTTTGCAGATATAAATATGATTATGGACCTTAAATTAGGGAGATTATCTTTACGGGCCAATTTTATCACATGAGCCCTTAAAAACACAGAACTCTCTCTGGCTGGAGATCAGAGAGATGTAGCAGAAGTGAGAAAGATCCGAAGTATGATAGAGACTCAATCCACCATAGCTGGAGAGAGACACATGGAAAGCAAGAGAAGAAATAATGACAGCCTGTAAAATCAAAGACTGACCCCAAGCTGACAGTCCACAAGGAAAGGAGGACCTTAGTCCTATAACTGCAAAGAACTGAACTCAGCTAACAACCTGAATGAGCTCAGGAGCAGATTCATCCCTAGAACCTCTGGAAAGGAACACAGTTTTGCTGTTTTTGCCCTTGTGAAACTCTAAGCACAGGACCCAGTTGAGCCATGTTCTACCTGGAATTCTGACCTAGAGAACTGTGAGATATAGTAAATGGGTGTTACTTTAAGAAGCTAAACTTGTGATAATTAGTTACAGCAGCAATAGAAAACGAATATAAATTTTGACAGCAGCCCATGAATTGGTACGACTATTATCCCCATTTTACAGGTAAGCAAACTGAGGCACAGAGAAGTTAAGTAACATATCCCAAAATACCCAGTGGTTAAGTTAGGATTTTGACAGGAGAAATGAGCCATCATTTGAGAGGGTGTATTAAGGTTTGTCACACCCAAAAGAATATGTTGTGTATTAGAGATGTATTTTTATTTTTATTTATTTTATTTTTTTTATTTTATATATTTTTTTAATATTTACTTATTTATATTTATTTTTTGGCTGTGTTGGGTCTTCGTTTCTGTGCATGGGCTTTCTCTAGTTGCGGCGAGTGGGGGCCACTCTTCATCACGGTGCGCAGGCCTCTCACTGTTGCGGCCTCTCTTGTTGCGGAGCACAGGCTCCAGTCGCGCAGGCTCAGTAGTTGTGGCTCACGGGCCTAGTTGCTCCGTGGCATGTGGGATCCTCCCAGACCAGGGCACGAACCCGTGTCCCCTGCATTGGCAGGCAGACTCTCAACCACTGCGCCACCAGGGAAGCCCCCGAGATGTATTTTTATTAAAAGAAGATGTAATGTATGAACTGTATCTTTTGCATTCGATCTGTAATAGTTCATTAATGGTAGTATATCAGTAATTATTATTATTATTATTTTTTTTTTGCGGTACATGGGCCTCTCACTGTTGTGGCCTCTCCCGTTGCGGAGCACAGGCTCCGGACGCGCAGGCTCAGCGGCCATGGCTCACGGGCCCAGCCGCTCCACGGCATGTGGGATCTTCCCGGACCAGGGCACAAACCCGTGTCCCCTGCATCGGCAGGCGGACTCTCAACCACTGCGCCATCAGGGAAGCCCGGTATACCAGTAATTATTAGTAAATTTGCTAGTAAACATTAGTACGTTTTTCCTCAGAGAATATTTTCAACTTCACCGTATTTATTTTAGAGATGCACAATTAAATTGCTTGGTCCATAAAATTAAGAATTAATGACTAATGAATGAGAGTTCCTTACTGAATCAAAGGCATAATAACCAGAAATGAGGATTAAAATAATGGTTTATCGTGTTCAAAACCAAAAATCAAGTTCAAACACAAAACATTCAAATCACAGAACAAATTCTTGTCATGAGAATTGTCATAAGATTTAAATGCAACTGGCCGCAGCATGAGGTTCATTGTGAAATGGTATGAAGTGAATGTTTAAATCTGCTTAAACTTCCTGGATTTCTGGAAATCAACACAAATCATGTTAAAATTGCCTTTGTACGTTAAAAAATGGCTTGTGAGAATCGTGAAAATATGAGCACCACAAAAATATATTTGGTCACAATGAACAAAACAGAGCACATGCTTCTTACAAAGTATCCTTATAAAATTTAAAACTGTATAAATTATACATCAACAGAGGAGACCACAAAGACCATGGTCATTAAAATTCTGCAAAGAACTAAATTAAATGAATATAATAATAATACATTAATGAATATTAAACACTGTAACATGTTATAAATATTAATATTTAATAAATTATTTATTAAATAATAAGTTAAATGCATGAAAATATGAAGGAAGAATTTTCTTACAAAAATATTTTCAATTGAAGAGTATGGACATCTCAAATAAGTCTAGTTATATTTTATTGATGGAAACATGGGGAAACTTTCAAAAGATTTTCTTTTTATCATTTACTATCGACTGACAATGTTGCTAATGCTATATTTAAAAATATAAACTAATTTTAAATTTCTCATAATGCTACATGGAGACCTATAAATGTCATTACAGTTAATTTTTACACATGGCTTAATGTTGAAATCAGGTAGACCAAAAGCAAAAAAATACAGCTCACATTGCTAAAAGTATTCTCAAAACCTGGAGGTTAAAAGACATATATGTTGCAAATGTGTGCATATGTTTCATACACCCTCCCCCCATAAAAACCTTAACAGTCATATACATTTTAAGTTAAGTGGTCTCTGGAAGGTACAAGCCTAGCATGTATAATTAAAATATTTTGTCACCTTGGTCTAGAATTTATAACTATTTCTGTATCGCTAAAAGTAAGAATGAGCTGTTAATGTGCTGAACATGTGTTCAAGTGGTAAGGCGTAAGGTAGACTTGTCTAGAAATCTATGAGTAGCATAGATTCAATGAACTCCGCTTGTAAAGACCCAGTTGGCTCGTAGCAATATTAGTCCAATTGCTCCAAATAGGGTTGTATAGTTCCAAGTTAAAAAAAAAAAAACAAAAAAAGGATCATTCTTTCTTAGGCATTCTAAGCTCTTTTAAGACCACTTCCAAATTCAAACTAAATAAAATGTCTTAGTGCACTGCTGCTTTTCTGTACAGATCTTGCTTCTGTTAGACATCACCAACCTTTTGACTTCTCTCTCTAGACTTTTAACCCCCAGGCCTTCAAGAAAAGACAAGGTGATAACATTAACTTATTTATTTTTTTTTAAGAAACACAGGGTGTAAGTCTGTAAATCAAAACCAGCACTTGTGTCAAACTTCCTGCAATATGGGCTGTTCATTGCTGGAAATGGTGATACAGGGAGGTTGTAGACTTCTTCCTTATATGTCTTTAAAAATCAAGTAGTCCTAACTATCTGGAATTGGAAATGCAGATAGCTAATATTATTGTTGCCATCTACTCAAATACAATTTTGATTTTTTTTGTTTTTTGTTTGTTTGTTTTCGGTACGCGGGCCTCTCACTGCCGTGGCCTCTCCCGTTGCGGAGCACAGGCTCCAGACGCGCAGGCCCAGCGGCTATGGCTCACGGGCCCAGCCGCTCCGCGGCATGTGGGATCCTCCCGGACCGGGGCACGGACCCGTGTCCTCTGCATCGGCAGGTGGACTCTCAACCACTGCGCCACCAGGGAAGCCCCTCAGGATATTTTTTAAACATCAGAATTTATTAAACTTTGACAGCAAAAGAACTACAAAGTAAAATCTTTATATGTAGAACTTGATAATCAGGGAATTATTCTAAGACATAAAACACATTCCTGATGTATCATCCTAGGTATAAAATGGGAAAAGAAGAAGTTTTCCCCAACATTTACACTAGCTTTTAAAATTCTTTGACTTTACTATGACCAAAATTGTTTCGATTCTACAAAATGGGATTGTTTTGTTCCACGATCAGATGATTGAAAAATGCATCCTTTTAATTCTGTCTCCCAAATGTTTAAATCCTAAAGACAGATTAGGTAAACCAATGCAGAATCATACTGAAACAGGGTTGCAGTTGCCCTTCTGTATTCTCAGTTCTTTCTTCCACCTCTGCTGAAAATTATCAGATTACCTTTACATTATTCATTCAATCTACCGTTACTGAGAATCTATTATAAGGAAGTTACAGAGATTGGTCATAAATAAAACCCATCCAGACCTACTAATGGAAGACCCAACCCCTGACTTTTCCTTCTCACGTATCGTTGGGAGTGTCTCACATGAGTTCCCATAAATCCAAACACCATGGGGTCGGCTGCTGTGTTGGTGATCCTGTTTCCTTCCTCCTCTGCTTTGGCTCCTTAGTGCTGAGTACAACCACTTTTACTTTCATGGGAGTTTTCTACATGCTGCAGGCACAACAGTCTCCTGAAGGCACCCCTGGGGTTCCCTAGGCTTCGAAGAGTGGAAATTCTCTCATGCCAGTTTCTCCAGATTCTCCTCCGCCCCAAGGCAAAGCACTGGAGTGCTGCAGTTGTCAAAAGGCTGTGTCTAGTTCAAAGAGCAGGATGGCTCCTCCCTGTTCTGTGTTTCCCCCTGTCATGGGGGGGGTCTCCATTTTACTCCCTCAGGCATTAGTCCTCATGCTGGTACAGGAAATGAGGTGGGACAGGGACACCATGCTGAATGCAGACTTGCTCTTACCTTCAGTAACTAAGGTTTTGTCAACCTTTTCGTGTCCAACTCCTTCTCTTGGAATGATTTTCCTTCCAAGAATCCTCTTCATTCCTTGTACGCGTAGACTTATATGGATCTATCCCACAGTTCACTCAGTATTTCTGAACCCTGTAGCGGTCACAATTTAGACGGGAGATACTGCAAAACAAATTATTATGCAATGTCTGCCTTAAGAGATTCTAGAATTTCTCTAATTGCTAACACACCTCAGGACGAATTGAAGCCATCAAATATTTGTAAATGTCAAGGAGAAGAGAACAAATTGCTGCTGTTTCCAAGTACCCCACTCTTTTTCCTCAGATTATCATAAGTTCCAGATGTTTATTAATATATTTTTAAAAGAATAACTGATTCAGTACTGTTCCAAATTTTGAGAATCATCTTATCTCACAGAAACAAGATTTAAGCATTTGTGTGGATGAGGGAGATTTATTTAAAAGGTTACTGAGAATTTTATTTTAATACTTTAGAGTCTTTCTTGACAAAAGGTGATAGTAAAACATTAAAAGGGTTATCATCTTAAAAGTGGAAAGAGGATTTGTGACACAAAGTCAACCAAAAAGAAAACCTTTGAGAATTGTATTTATGAAAAAAATTGTAATTTTCAACATAAAAAAATTAATCCCTATTCATCATTCAATATATCATCATTTAATATGAAGGACAGCAGAATACACTTATAAAACGCTGAATAAATTTGCATTTTAGAGTAATTTACTTTTCACTAACGTAATTTGGATGACTCAAGTGAAACATAATGCAGTTAACTGAACAGATTATTTCAGGTATAAATTTTACAGGCAAAATATATGTCAGATACAACTCACGTTTTTATTCCTAAGAGAAATTGTGAGCACTTTATAATGATAATCATGTTGCAAAAATCATAAAGTTCCAATATATTTGAATGACTTAATTTCGATAAGACTTTCTTTCCTTTATAATCATGAGTTCAACTTCTACATCCAGCACTTTCATTATCCAGAATACTATTCGATGTCATTCAGAATTGTTTCTTCATACACTGAGGGTTTATTGCAGAGAATTACACAAGATGTTAGGATTTGTTAGAATTAAAAAAATCAAAATTGGGGCTTCCCTGGTGGCGCAGTGGTTGAGAGTCCACCTGCCAATACAGGGGACACGGGTTCGTGCCCCAGTCCGGGAGGATCCCACATGCCGCGGAGCGGCTGGGCCCGTGAGCCATGGCTGCTGAGCCTGTGCGTCCGGAGCCTGTGCTCCACAACGGGAGTGGCCACAACAGTGAGAGGCCCGCGTACCGCAAAAAAAAAAAAAAAAAAAAAACCTGAAAAGATGAATACGGTGTCAGTAATGAAGAGAAATGATCCATCACTGAAAAATATCCACACTACATGTTTTTGCATCTGCCATACCAGCTTTTTCAGCCCTATAGGAATAATCCCTAATGAAATAAATTAATTGATGTGCATTTTTCTTTAAAACTTAGTGTTCCTACGTGCAGGAAAGCTCATGTTAAAAAATATATATATTTGGTTGTATCACTTTCTTGCTTAAGACCCCTTGATGACTCCCTACCACCACCTGTTGCAGGTTGGTTTCCTAGGTAAGAAGACTTGGAAACTCTGTTACTGTGTAGGAGTTTTATTAGGGAATGGTTTTAGGATCAACACTGATGGAAAGGAAGAAAAAATTGCAGAATTAAGCAGGGGGAGAAGTGACACTGAGGATCTGTCTCCATGGGGCCTCATCTGAGGAGTTCTGAGGTTGGGATAACCCATCTGAGTTGTCCTGAGTTGGGGTCAAGGAACCAGGCTTTATTGCCCATGTCAATCAGTCATTGAGTGTGGGCCACCATGAGAAGGAGGCATGACCTTTGATGACATGGCCTCCTTCAGCTGAGGCAGTCCCTGGAGGGGGGCCAGTTAGGGAGGGCTGAGGGCTTTCTGCTGGCAGCAGTTGGTGAAGTTAAATCCTTTATTTTTGAAGGGGGATCTGGGTGGCACATTATGGCATCTACACACCACTTGACAGGATGAAATCATAACAATATAGCTCACAGTCCAAAGCCAGATCCAACATACTTTTCCCAATTTAGTCTCTACTATTAGCTTACCTGTATCCTAGATGCCAATCAACTCCCCTACTCTTGTTTTTTTTTTTAATAAATTTATTATTATTATTTTTTGGCTACATTGGGTCTTCATTGCTGCACACGGGCTTTCTCTAGTTGCAGCAAGCGGGGGCTGCTCTTTGTTGCAGAGCACGGGCTCTAGGTGCGCAGGCTTCAGTAGTTGTGGCTTGCGGGCTCTAGAGCGCAGGCTCAGTAGTTGTGGTGCATGGGCTTAGTTGCTCCACGGCATGTGGGATCTTCCTGGACCAGGGCTAGAACCCATGTCCCCTGCATTGGCAGGCGGACTCTCAACCACTGCGCCACCAGGGAAGCCCGAAACTGATTATCTTATTAAGCAAGCCCAATTCATTAAGGGCAGAAATCAAATCTAATAGACCAACATTTACCCTAGTCCTGGTGTATGTCTGAAACTGCTTGGAATTTTAGAAAATACAAATAAACGAGAGATGTATTCCTTGTCTTCAAGGTTCCTATGATCTATTTGAAGAGAAAGGAGACAAAAAATATAAAAATTAAATGGCACAACAGAAAATAGAATTTAATACAAAGATACGTGAGAAATCATGGACAGCCCACCTACTATAATTGAGATGTGTTATGGAAAGTTATGATTTTTTTTTGACCAGAATTCAGGTCCCATCTTCCCACAGAACAGTATTTGACATAACAGTCAATTTCCCTAGATAGCTTATATAATCCTCTTTATTAAATTTAGAACAGGCCTTAGGACTAACAGTGATATATAATGTAGTAGCACTTACTATAGCATTTTTATTTGTATGCCAGATTTAATGAATGGATTAATATGTTCACATACTCAACAAATATTATGATGAGCATCCACTGCATGCCAGGCACTGGGGTATAGCTGTGAACCACTCAGATAAGCTTCTCCTTACAGAGTGAATGGTCTTTGGGGCAAAGCAGACATTGAGTGATCATAATAAAGGGCACTAAGTGTTATGAAGAGGGACCGTGGGTTATGGTTAGTGTTCAACAAGGGAGCTGCTTGGGCTGGGGCTTCTTATTTAAGGCAGGGTTAGGCTGAGGTTTTAAGGGTGAATTAGATATAAACTGGAGGGTGGAGAGAAAAGGAGGAAGGATGGGTTCCAAGTAGAGGGAAGATCATGTGTAAAGGTCAAGGCATGGGAGGAAATATGCACATAGAGGCCATGTGAGTAGCAGAAAGAACTGTCTTGCAGCTAGAGCACTATGAATAAAGTGAGACAAAGCTACATGTTGGAGAGATACGTAAAGGTCACATCATGGCAAGCTTTGGAATGAGATTGGTCTTTGTCTTAAATGTTGTGGAGAGTTAAAGGTGGGCAGGACAGCGTCAGATTTGCATTTGTGGAAGATTATTCTAGAAGCAGTCTACGGGAGGAGTCGTGAGGGTCAAGGATGACAGCAGCGAGACCAGGTGGCTAATACTGCTATTGAAAGTGCACAGTAGGTTGGCCTAAGGTATTGGCAACGAAGGTGACTAGAAGTGCATGGTAGCAAGTCCGCAGAATGAATGATGATTGGAGATTGATGAACTGTGGGGAGCGAGGAGAAAAGAGGAGCTGGGATGCCCGGGACCCTTGAAGTTCCAGGAAGGGATGCCCGCAGTATACCTGCCTCCTCATCTGATCCAGGCAGTGTGGGAGGGCTTGACTGTGCTCCTGTTCAGGCACAGGCCACAGAGCAGGAAAGGAGTCCCTGGGCAGGTGGCCACAGCAGAGGCAAGGCTGGAAAGTGAGCCACCCTAAGCAAAGCAGGATGAAGGAACAGAGTGACTCTGGGGGTCTGTTGCCAGTGAGGAGGAGAATCCCTGGCCAGGCCAGCACAGAAGAAAGACAAAAGAAAGCAGCCCTTGATACCTGGAACTGAGTTTTACAGGTAGACCTCAATGCTATTACAAGCTGGTCTGACATTCAGAGCCAGGTCATTTTATTCTCCCGTTGGACACAAACAAAATCTCTAACCCCAGATGAGATCACCCTGAGACAAGGATAAAATGAAACAGAGCAAGACCACGTCATAATTCTGTCTAAACACAGACAAAAAACATGGTTATTGTGCCAAAATAACCAAATAAAACACCCAAACCTAGAAATACCCTCTTTTTCTAACAACATCCCATCCGGAGCAAACTCTGCTTCCTTAGACCCTCTCCCAATCACCCAATCCAAGCCTAAGTCTTGTAACAGGTTCTTTCTGACTTTACTGAGATGCCCCACGGTTCCCCATGTCATGTGGTCCCCCGTGCTGTGGGGAGTAATAAACCCAACTTGTTCAGCTACAAAGGGGTTCCTGGTGGTCTCTGGCTGAGGGCACTGACAGTAGGCTAGGAATTCATAAATTGGCAATTGCCTGCCTATATGTGATGCCTTGGCGTTTCAGTGCTGTGGAATGGCACGCCGTGGGCACATAATGAACATTTGCTCGACAAACAAGCAAGCGTTTACAGGAATGAAGAAAAGACCACTGCAATAACCCACCTGCTTGCCATCCATTCCAGCCAGTCTCTTGGATTCGAATGTTGATCTAAACCTACACGGAAAAAGAAAACAGAGAAAAAATTAAAACAAAGACAAAAACACAACCCCCAGAAGATTTATGAGTAATGCTACTTCAGTCACAACAGTCTTTAAATTTTTTTTTTTTTTTTTTACTTTGATTTTGCTCAGGGAACTTTTAGCTTTACTCATCTTTAATTACCTCAATTTCATGCTGAACTCAGGCACAGAAGAGATCTGTTTGTAATTTCAGATGAGAGAAAATGAAATTCCCCTCAGCAAAGTCAAATTTTAAAATTCAACAGGAAGAACAGTGTGCCAGTTCACAAAAAATATCAACTTTACATTTCAAGGTAATTCAGTGGCAATGCAGTACTAAAGAGCTCACGTTTTGTTCTGAAAACAAAACAACATTCAACAGAGAGGGAGAATGTTAAGACAGAATCTGTTTGTCTCTCCCTCTCTCTTTTTTATTGTGGTGAGAACATTTAACATGAGATCTACCCTCTCAACAGAATTGTATGGACACCCTACCATTAGTAAGCGCTATTAAGCACAATGCAAATCTCAAGGACTTAATCAGTTATCTTGCATAATGAGTTTTATGCCTGAACAGCAGGTCCCGCATCCTGCCCACCCTCCTAGCCTCTGGCAACCACCATTCTACTCTCTGCTTCTGTGTGTCTGACTAGGTTAGATGCCTTAGATCAGTGGGATCATGCAGTATCTGTCCTTCTGTGACTGGCTTATTTCAGTTAGCACAGTGTCCTCCAGGTTCATCCCTGTTGTCGCAAACGGCAGGATTTCCTTCTCGAAGGCTAAATAACATCCCGTTTAATGAACCACATTTTCTTTATCCACTCCTCTGGCAGTGGACACGGAGGTTGTTTCCACCTCTTCGCTATTGTGAATAATGCTGCAATGAACATGGGAATGCAAATATTTCTTTGAGATCCTCATTTCAATTCTTCTGGATATATACCCAGCAGTGGGATTGCTGGGTCATATAGCATTTCTATTTTTAGTTTTTTGTTTTTGTTTTTCTTCGCGGTACGCGGGCCCCCCGCTGCCGCGGCCTCTCCCGTCGCAGAGCACAGGCCCCGGACGCGCAGGCCCAGCGGCCACGGCCCACGGGACCAGCCGCTCCACGGCATGTGGGATCTTCCTGGACCGGGGCACAAACCCGTGTCCCCTGCATCAGCAGGCAGACTCTCAACCACTGCGCCACCAGGGAAGCCCTATTTTTAGCTTTTTGAGGAACCTCTATACTGTTTCCCATAGAGGCTGCACCAGTTTACATTCCCACCAGCAGTGAATATGGGTTCCACCTTCTTCCCCATCCTTGCCAACACCTGTCATCTTTTTCTTTTATAATAGCCATCCTAACAGATATGAGGTGATATCTCATTGTGGTTTTATTGTGCGTTTCCCCATGGTTAGTGATGTTGGGCATCTTCTCATACACCTTTTGGGCATTTGTATGTCTTCTTCGGAGAAATGTCTATTCAAGTCCTTTGCTCGTTTTAAAATCAGGTTTTTTTTTTTTTTTTTTTTTTTTTGCTATTGAGTTTAAGGAGTTTCTTATATACTTTGAATATTAACCCCTTATCAGCTATATGATTTGCAAACATTTTCTCCAATTCTGTAGGTTGCTGTTTCATTCTAATTGTTCCCTAGGCTGAGAAGAAGCTTTTTATTGTCTCTAGAAGGTGGAATATTCAGCAGATGTTAACATTTTTCTTTAGTCGTATTTTTCAAATGTTCAAAAAAGAATAATTATTTTATAATTAAAAAGAAAATAGTAATTCAAACTAATTAACAGAAGCCAATTCATAAAGCTAAGTGGAATGGGAAATATGGTAATTGTCTGAGCCTTGATAAAGGTTATTTGAGGAAAAAGGGGAGATTTGGACTTACATATATGGTTATTTATATTAATCATGTTCACCAAGTTCTTCCCCTCTTCTACAATTTATTTGATGCTAAGTCAATGACTCAAAGACCAAGAAACTACCTTCTGAAGCTTTTGAGAAATTTCAGTTTGCCAACTTAATTTTCTAAGTTTGGGAAAGGAAATAATGAGAAAATGAAAATGTGCAAAAAGTTACCAACTCTTATGCATTATGGATGATAACATTTAGCAGTTTCTATGAGAGGCAGATACAGAGATCATATTTTGCATTTTTAATACACTTCTTATATTTGCTGAAAAAAGCTAGTGTAAACAGATGCATCTCCCTAATGAGGATGCTACAGCTGATAGTCCTCTTTACTGTGAAAACTCCCAAAGTTTATGAAGAATACACACCAAAAAAAAAAAAAAAGAAAGAAAAAAAGCTGAAAGCAGAGACATGTTTTTTTGAGAACCATAGCTAAGTTTTTCTTTAATTACTGAAATATGAGTCAGATTAGGATCATGATATTCATGAATAACACAATGAATAAAAGAATGACTCGCCCACGTGGAACAGAAGATGTCAGTGCAGGGCTGTCAGCTTTGTTATTCCAAACTTAAGAGAATGATGGGCACAGTGTTATTCATTTTGGAAGATTCTACACCAAAACAGTGACATCCTAATTAGGACATGTCTGTCTTCTATTCTTGTGCTTTTCTATACACTTTGTCAGTGACTTTCAACCATGTTTTTTAGCTGTATAAGAACTCGACCTCAAATTCTCAAAACTCCTTTTTATCATCTTTAAATATTTATGTGGCATTCAACACTTCTTTGAAAGCTATGAGTCTACCTCAAATCAAATACAGACTTGCAAGCTAAAAAGTCTGGAAACCACTGTCCAGGGGGATCAATTCAGAAGGAAATATGTCTTATATAAATTGGAAAAGCAACAGGACTAACTCGTTGCAAGCCGAAGTGATGTTGGTGTCAGACCACGGAACATCTTAAGGATAAAAAGGGGATTATAGAGGCACAGCCACAGTGAATCAACCACATTCAAATGAAAGCTTTTAAGTTGTGTATAATTAATAATTTTTGAATGGGTGGCATGAGGTTCGGGAATTTTTTTGTGGCTTCTCCCCTTTCAATGTTTTCTGCAACCCTCTGGCATTAATGATGATTAACTCTACTTGCAGGGGCTATCACAACCCACCCTATCAGAATTCTAAAACGATGCATATCAAAATAGACAGATAAAATAATTACAAGAGTTAGTAAGCAATCCAATGTCAGGATTGAAATACAGTTGAAGATGTTGGAAAATTTCTAACCTGATACAAACCATCAAACTCTGGAACTTCGCTTCTTTCACTCTACCAGGAAAGGTGATATCCCTGTTGTGGATTATTCCTGAAGGGCCCAAGTAAAGCCTGGGTGTGTGACACCAGTGATCCTCCCTTTCCAGTAGCTATGTACTTTTCTGAAATACTTGGAAGCTGAGCAGCCTTGTGGTAGAGAAAAGTGGTGATGGTGGTGAGGAGGGGAAGCCTGTCTGTAGAAGAGTCCACCGCAAGAGAAGGAGAAGGCTGGTACAAGAAGCCAGACCCAGAAGCAGTATCTGAGGTTCTAAAGTGAGGGTGGTTCCAGGTTCTGTGAGGTTACTGATGTCTGAATAGGTCACATCTTGGCATGCTGGCTGCGTGTGTGCTCTGGAGGAGAAGCTGAGGATGTGTAAAATCAAAGGTGCCACACCTCCACACAGAGTCTAGAGCCCAGGAAAACTGCGTGCCGTATCTGCTTCTACTGGGCAGGGGACTACAAATCTCCTTCTCAGCTAGCTAATGAGGCAGGGCTGAACTGGAGTGGAAGGAGGCATCTTTACAATTCCAAGATCTATCTCTATGTGGGGAGGAGACAGTCTTTGACACAGGACTGCACGTAGATGACAGATTTAGAATCATTACATCCATGCTATGAAGTCACCATGAAATGAGAATTTCAGTTTACCAACTGATTTACTTATGCATTGTAACATAGAACAATACATAGTTTCTAATAGGTACCTCGTTTTCCCCCAAAGGCTATATATAACATGTAGGTACAGTTTACAGAAAAGTGATAAAACACCCACCTAACTTAAGAAATAGAATATACCAAATGTTGTGATTTTTGCTTTACTTCTATTATACAGTAGAAGCATGGTATCAAATGGGGTATGTTCTTCTCTCACTCATAGAGCACACTCCTTAGAGAGTTACTGCTACATCAAAGGGTTGTTAAACATGACCAAGGGATGAGAACTGTCTCCAAAGAAGTTGTGCTGATCTCCACTCTCACCGGTATTCGAAGGGTGTTCTTGTTGCCTCACGTACTCTAATAAGATATTTTCTTGTTTCCCTCGTTTGTGGGAGGTGAGACGGTATTTTACGGTGATTTTATTTTCCTTCTCCTTGACTGCTAATACAATTAAGCATCTCTTAATTTGCTCACAAACCATTCATGTTAACTCTTCCATGAACCACCTTTTGTTCTTTCTCTTGGTTTGACTTTTTATGGTTGATTTATAGAAGTCTTTGCTATGTTCTGATTTCTCGTCTTTGACAGTTGTGTGTTTTGCAAATAACTTCTCCCAGCTGGAGGCTTGTGTTTTTATTCTCTTTATGATGTCTTTGATGATAATCAGTTCCAGATATAAATGTTGACATATTTTTCACTCTTTTCCTGTATGTTCTGTGCTTTTGTAAATGGTCTTAAATGAAATAATTTTGTGAATCGAGGGCAGAACAATATTCTCCTATATCGTCTGGCAAGCATTTTGGAGTTCTGCTTTCCACAGGTATGTCCATCTGGCATTGAATTTTATGTATGGTGTGAGTCATAATTCACGGTGTGGTCTTGATTTGCTTTTTTCCAGTTGTGAAATCAATATACTAAACAGTCCATCTTCCCCCCACTGATCTGCCAAGGCAAATATCAAGTTTCTACGTACATGTTGGTCTCTTTCTGGGCTCCCTTTCCTATTTCATTGCTTTGTTTACTTACTCATGTGTCAGTATGACACTGTCTAAATTATGTCTTTTAAGTATTGCTGCCTCAAAGCACAAGAGCCATCTTTCTTGAGAGGTAGTTTTCCCCC